CCGTGACGACAATGATCAATGCTTCAAAATATATAAACAAATGGTCTTCGTTTTCTGTCGCCCTATGGAAACTTCATCATGGGGTGAAGCTCGAAAGATGATGTGTCACGAGTTATGAAAAAATGTATTCAAAGTTACTTTTCCAGCGTCCAAAGAAATCCGAAAGGTCTGATCATGGCCAACCCGAATGTTTCACATCGAAATTCTCTGAGGTTCATTCGAAGGACAAGTTGACCAAAATATTTGCTGAACATCTTGCTGGTTTTGATCACAAGGATCAGCAGGGTTTCTACCCCATATGAGCCGGGACACAATGAAACACTTACATGTTCCCGCATCGTTTATGAATCCAATCTTGCACTGGCAAGTTGCATTACCCGTTCCTACATCGATGCATTCTGCGTTTGGGTCGAAACAAACCGAATTTCCCAGGAATGGGTCGCTTTACCCCAGGACCTCAATATATTATTTCCGGGCTGAAAGAACAGGGTGGTTTTTTTTTTAGGGGGGGGGGGGGGCTGATACCATGGAATTCAGGTATTTTTATTTTGGACTTTATTTTTAGGGACAACAAATATCTGAAAATGAACAATTTTCGCTTTCATGAGAGATATGTCAAAACGATATAGTCTCGCCGCATTTACACAAATTGACTTCTTTGACCCTAGAATTGCCAACCGTCGATAAAATCGCCGTTAGTACCAACCAAATGAATGCCAATTGTCGAAAAGTTTCTGGATTCGATTTCCTTTGAAGGACTGGTATCTTTGATGAAGACCTTCATACAACTCTACTCTCATGACATTTTTCACTAAGTTTTTTGAGAACGGTGACAAAAACCCTAATGATGCTAGGCCTATAGCCGATTCCTTACTCTTGCCATTAGACGGGCAGGGACTGATGAGGTTTTCGGATATTGATCGTCCAGGATGCTTAGACGAACTTCCTGCAAATTAAAGTGCGACTGACTGAATGGCACTGCCCTGTGCGAGCGACATCCAAGCAACCATATGCTTGGGGATACGAAGCAAAGAACCGCGCCATGACGGTTTACGTGACGTCTCCAGAAGGAACGCTCTCATTCCTTTCCCTATCGCCTAGTAACATATGTGCCGAACGCCATGCTGGTTTTGGTCGCAATGTTTAACAGGGGTGAAATTTGACTTCAGTAACTCACTGCAAATCCCAGCGTCGTTCACGTGTCCTGCTTTGCACTGACAGGTCGAGAAACCTGTTCCGGCTTCGATGCATTCCGCGTTTGGGTCCAAGCAAGCCAAGGCTCCCATGAGTGGGTCACATTCTTCATCGAGAGCACCTTGCCTTTCTAAAGTAATCATTCATGCAATCATGATGTGTTTTTTTTAAATATTTAATTGCAGTCTACAGCACAATGAATTGCAGTCTGTTCTGGGAAGAGCCTAGGTGCTTCATCTGTGAGTCGCCAGGTGAAACGCCAGTTAAAAGCTCTTCTTATACATTGGGTGCCGCTTGTTGTTATAGCTGGTTAATGTTACCAGCCATTTAATATCAAAACACGAAAATCAAAACCAAATCCTATACTGACCATAATATTTTTTCGGCTAATTTTATCAACTCCACCGGTTACTGTTATAAAAAATGTCTACCCAAGTCGTAAAAATACCCTATTCGGAACCAGCCTCTTTTCAGAGTCACGTCGTGCAAAACGCCCCCCACTCCGCCTACAACCCTTTCACCAGTAAAAAAGACACAAACTCAACAAGCAGTCCAATATTGACTCATGCAATTGAATGTTGCTCTTGGCGTGAGTTTCACGTGCTTGGTTGCTAAATTGTAACGAGTTGTTTAATTGTAGTGTTTCCATTAGTGCATTCTTTTTTTTTTCACCCAACATTGGGTAAGACGTCGCAGAAACGGGAGAGGCTGAGGGTTCAGGAGACATTCAAGCTTCTAAGCGAATATGATGCATTGCCAAAATGTAGTCAAAGGGAAACAGCTGCGAAGCCAGGAATTTCGAAGGGAACTTTCGGATTTGGAACATGGATTTGAAAGCCATTGTTTTGAGGGATCAGCTACCTTCATGTAAATGAATGAGATGAGAGGAAGGATTCCAGTCGTCATCAGAGTTTCGAAGTACAGTAGAAAGCGACAATAATTTCAAACATTACATATTTACCAAAATCTTTCCTGAATACCATGCTGGTTTCCGTCACAAGGAGCAAGGACTCCAACCCAACAAGGATTCGAGACTGAAACACGGGGAACTCACTGCAAATCCCAGCGTCGTTCACGTATCCAGCTTTGCACTGGCAGGTTGTGAAGCCTGCCCCGGCATCCACGCATTCCGCGTTTGGGTCCGTGCACGCCAAGGCTCCCATGAGTGGGTCGCAGTCTTCGTCGAGTGCTCCTTGCCTTCCTGGAATAATCATGCATCGAGTGCTATTCCTTCGCAGTTGAAGTTCTTTCGCAGTTCTTCGCGGTCAACAATAACATCGAGGGTAGAATGGCCATGCTGTCTCAAAATAATCTAGTTGCACGGACTCTCTAAGGACTGAAGTTCAACTTATTTATTTCCTGGAAATGTCACCCAATTTTGAGAAAAAGCACTGCGAACAAAGATGTTTATGAGTTATATCACATATGAAGACTCCAGACTTTCGTCCTAGACTTCCTGAAACAACGGGGACCTTCACTCGTTGTTTTGACGTAAAATCTGGGAATAAAATCCGGACTCACTGCATTGACCGCTGCCATCCGGGATGTATCCCGGGTTGCACGTGCACATGTGTTCGTCGCAATCGGCGTTGCTCACACATTCTTCAGCCATTATGCACCATCCTCCTTCTGGCACCTCTACGAAAAATGGAGCGACAATCGAGACTTCGTTATTGAAATATACCACCTTCATTTATTGAATGCCAAGATAAGTTTCTTCCCAGGAAGAAAAAAAAAGGGAAGCATATGGATTTCCTTGGAACTTGGAATGCTGGGCCACCCCGACTCTAGATCGTGTTCAGTATGACCTCCATTGATTCAGAGCAGAGCACTTTCTTAAGACGTAGTGCATTCCTTCTGTATTAGTCTTACCATTGCACAGTATAATATCCATGTCGCCAGAGGTGGGTAGTATTTAATAAACGTTCTTCGGTAGTTTTAGGGTACTTCGTATTTAGCACCGCAATTACATACTAATCACAAAATTTATTTCTATTTTATATTTGAAGAACAGTTCTCCCTACAATGTGCATTTATAATTCATCCACACCAAGTTATTTTTCGATCTACCTCACCTATGTCTGCTACTTTAACCTTACGCGCAAGGCCTATGAGCTTATACCTTTCCAGGCCATAGGCCGAGAGGAAGGAAACGTGACGAGGCGTCCCAGTAGGCTTGCTATCGTTATTGGGTGGGATGTGAGGGCTGTATGCCCCTTAGAGAAGTTGATCAATGGAACTCTCAGTTACATCCAACTTCATGCATTTCTAGGTCTATCGTGTCACAATATCTTGATGTGAATGTGCTGATACAGCCCATTATTGGCCCCAAGCAAGGTTTTGTTTCGTGACGTAATGACTATATTTTGCCTAGGCCTTGACATTGTTCAAGCACGAATTTTGCCAATATAGATTAATATGGTAGTGATTTCGGCGAGTACGTCCAGATCTCATTGAGGACCATGAACGGTAAACGGGGTGTCCAGTCCGGGATTCGGAAAGGAAAACAAAGAATACCATGCCCTACCGATGTGCTGTTGGTCAATGGTCAGAATTTCCAAGGGGATCCTAATTTGGGGCAAAATATGAAAGGCACGGTGTAGAAAAAAATTGTATTTTGCATATAAATTATTATTGGGCTGTATTTGTATTGAGACCATCCACATCAAGTGAAATGAAATGTTACCTATACTTCTAGGCCACTCGCGTCAGGCTACAGTGGCCGAAGTCTATGCCTTTCCAGCCCATGAGATGAGTGGATGAACATTGGACGTTCACTTGTACGTTCTCTGGTGCTGACAGTTAAAACACTCCATCACTTGTATTTGGCCTAGTTCTGCAAGTCCCACGCCCTTTCACGTCTCCAAAGCAGTGGCCGCGAGTGATGAAAATAAAAATGAAAAACCTGTAACTCAATGTAGGGGAGGGTGGGGCATTATGAGTCACTCTTATGTGAGCCTGCGACTTTGACATTTTATTCCTCTGAAGCAATGGAAGGCTCCGCGTGTGAATATTCAAAGCATCTCCACAATTCCGTGTTTCAAATTTGCTAACCTACAAGCGTCGTGCGATAAAGTCGTATTTTTAAACGGGGTACGATGGGTCATCCCCATAATCATCGCTAAAGTGAACTTTAGTTGACCCAAAGTCATCACACAAAGAAGTTTTCTCATTACTGGAGGAGAAGCTCTTGAATACTGATGCACTCCTTCAAAAACATCCAGAAAAAGTAAGAACCTTTAATCGGAAATGAATATACGATTCATTTCACGTCCAAGAATACCACATCTGCTGGGTTTGAACCCTACAGTCTTCGGCATCTATTTGTGCTTTATTAGATCGGGAAAATATTGTAAAGGAAATCCTGATTTCCCCCAACAGGAGCCATTGAAAGAAAATCAATGGTTTATCCAGATAAAGTAGAGATTGTAACTGATACGCGCAGGCATTGAACTACCGATCTCCCGAATGCAATTCCAGTAAGAATCGGGACTCTCCATCAAATGGAATAATTAGCAAAAAATAAGACTTCAGTGCCAACAGAAACGAAAAAGTGTCTTCTATAGAAAAACGTCCATACAATTTGTTTATTGGATGGGGACTACTCTATTTTCAACAGCAATTTTCTGGCACCTCAGCTGGAAGATATGTAGCATACGACATGTAGAGAAGCAGAGCTGGGAGAGCTATAAGCAGCCTGACCTGTGGTGCCCCGCTCTCCTACGGTTAGTACATGCATCATCTCTGTGGCGGTCGACTGAGTAATAATTTATGGATTGGTGCCAGGTCCCAAGTGTTACCTCTTAGACGTGCAGGTGCTAAACTACCCTAATAACTAATATAGCTAATAACCTCTCCGATGTTTAGAATGGAGAAGTTATTAGCTACGTTGCTCTGAATCACACTGCTCAATGTATAATCTACATACGGAGTGCCTCAGAATTAACTAAAAGTAGGTGGTTTCGTTTCCTGGCCGCTCTGACCTAGCCCTCTGCCACCCTAGCTTAACATTCGAGGCTTTTACGTCTGTTCCTTTCTGAACCCTAGGCTAGGTTTAGTCCGTGCAGTATTGGTACATTCTGTATCAAGCCGCAAACGATATGACATTTACTCATCTTGGCGTATTATATGTTAATGAACCGCAACGGAAAGTTGTCTGTGACAACGTGACAAGAAATTTAGCGTCATGGCTTCGACCATCCAATGAGGTTTTCGTATGTCGCACGCAGGAAGGAAAGGGGATACGACACCCATGACTCACTGCACGTTCCTCCTTCGTTTACGTGTCCGGCGATGCAATCGCATGTCGTGAAGCCGTCGGGTCCGACGCACTCTGCGTTCGGGTCGTTGCAAGCCGACTCTCCGAGGGCTGGATCGCAATCTTCCCCGAGTTCGTCTCTCGCTTCTGGAACGATCGACCGTGTAACTAGCCTTACAGGCTGCTTTTCGTTCATTGCTAAGAGATATCAATATATACAAACACAGAGACATAGACAAGCCCTTTACCTGCTCAGCACCCCGATTAACGTTCGGCGACCTAACGCTCGAACAAGTTGATGAAATTGCCTTCGAAAACTTTGCTTAAGCACTGCTTCACAGCTGCGTTCTCGAAAATGACCAAGAGAAGTTTAACTCGTTGGCATTCACGCACTCACATCTTTATTTTTAAGGAGCGAGCGCCGAACGCGCGAGAATTGTCAAACTCATTAAGCAAGGGGTTTCAATGCATCATTAGGGGTGAGCTTCGAAAACGGATGCTTAAAATGCATTAGTAATTTCCTCGGATCCTAGAGTACTGAAGGCGCGTCCAAAGCGAGTTTGTTCACCAGAAAGGCAAACAAAATCGCTAGTTAGTAATTAGATAATTGGAGACGGAGAGAATTTTCCAGCAATGTGGAATTCACTATTATTGCAGGACGAAGTTTTACTTGATGAACAGGAAAACAATAAATAAATAAATATATATCTTCAAGATACACGCAGTCGTCCGCGGGCTTCTTAAATTTACTGATTGACACTAAATAAATGCTTTGGAAATGAACCATCAATTCCTGCGGGGATGATTGATGATTCACACTCACGCGCATGGACGATTTGTAGAATGTTGAGAGACGCACACAGCATGAGAAATATGTTGATTTTGACGGTCGTCATCCCGCCTTCATCGCAGAGCTTTCCCCTTTGGCGGAAAGCGATGCCTCGTGTCTTCCAGGAACTGCAGCCCTCCCCTCTTCTCGCCGTATGAGGAGAAGGTCCTTATTTTCTTCTGTCTTTGCGTCGAGGCTGCAGGTGCATCGCTTTCAGAGGGATTTTATCTTGTGACGTGCTAGTAGCCCCTAGAGATAAAATCATTTTATCTATATTACGATTTTTCTATATACTCCCGATCATTGTAAACCTGTCGCGGATTCCCTCGTATGATACCGTGGATCAGAGGCAGGTGGAGTCTTAAGTTCACCCGTTACTTCAGACATCGGTGATGTTAACCAATACGTTCAACATATCCATATTGATAGGTCTGATTAGGCCGGAAAGAGTGTTCCTTTTTGCCAGTCGCCATTGAAATGGGAATGTGCAGCCGCGTCATATGCGTCGACCCCTGCTAGCAAAAGTCAGCCTATCCACACGCAGGAGAGGCGATAGCTTTCCCCATATGGAACATTTGGCTTGGAAGTTCCATTTGTTAGATCTCCAAAAATCACTGTGACAAATGTTACGGCTTGCTTTGCATTTGTAGTACGGTATTTCATTAAACCTGTCAATGCCACGCGGCCGATCCGTAGGCTCGATCGAATATGTATAGTTCCCGTGGCACTGAAAGGGTCAACATTAACTCCGGTGCACCTTCACGAATTAAAATCCAACAGAGAATGAACTCATCGATTGATCTCAGCATTTCAACATATGAATTCAACTTGAAAACTTCACTTGGAGGCCAGGAGGATGCAGGGCTGAGTGACGCGAACATCATCTAATATATATAGACGATCGTGACTGACTGACGCTAATTCTAACCATGTTCTAGAGAAGTTAGAAATCTGAAAACTTGGTATACAAGTAGCTATTGGGATGCAGAGCTAAAAAAAAAACCAACTTTGGAGGTACATGCCCTGGGGGAGACTGATTTTACCAGCCTAGGTCCAGCCCCCGACGGAGGTTTAGGCCTATGCCATTCCCATGTGCGCCTTCTTTCATTGGGTGTCATTGAAGGAAGTGTGTGTAACTGCTTGGTTGTTCACTCTAGAGGAATTCCGACTTTTGAAGGGGGGGGGGCTGATTTCGCAGGCCTTGGCCTAACATCATTCTCATGGACTTTCTTCTTCAAACGAAGCGGGATGGAAAACAGCTGTTGGTTCGCATACTATAGATATCAGTTCGACATTGGAGGTACGTGCCTTAAAGGGATTGGTTCAGCAGGCCCGTATCGATCTCGGCTTGTTTGTTTAGACGGCCTATTTGAACGGAAAAGTCGTTGCCTTAACATGCGGCGCGAGGTCTATGCCCTATGCCTTTCTAGGTCGTAGGCTAGGTAGGAGGATTGATGCGAATTGGTTTCAAATGTTTTTGTAGCAGGGAAACTGCATGGNAGGTGTCAAAGCCAAAGGTGTGGCCTGTTACACTGTGACTGTGCTTGACCATGTTGAAGCGGATGCCCAGCCTGATGACAAATGGAACGCCATGGAGATCAACAGTCATTTGCAGTGTCCAACTTCCCGACACCTGAAACACTGAATAGGTTCTCGTCTTTGCTTCAAACCACCCCTCTTTGCTTGACCGTTTTGTCGAGGAAGTTTCTGCAACTAACGCTGCTCACCAGATCTACCAACATTCTGACCATATTCCAACAAAGACAAATGGTCTTTTATATTCTTTAAAATAGTTCGGATTCGGGCAAAGAGCACCCCCAAATCCACAGCTAATGTAGGTTTTGAAATACCAGACGAATGGGATGAAATTGCTTGCATAAGAAGCACTAGCCTCTTTTGGAGCTACCGCATGCATTGTTAATGCAGGTGCACTACGTGAACCCAAGGCTACTTCAGTTGTCTGAACCAGATCCATCATGCGGGCAACAGCTCTAGGCATCTCCCATCTAACAGTTTCTTGATTTGAAGGCAAAAGACTATTCAATTAGTGATCTCGAAAGAATGGATTGCTCTCAAGACCATCAAAGGAACCTCCAGCTTCGAGAAAAAGAATGGTCAGACTCAGCCCGAAGCTGAACCCTCTTTTTGAATGCAGTCATGCTGTCGAACTCTGCAAACTTTCCTTTGAAGGTTGGAATCAGTCGTGCCCTAAGATCAGGCAAAGTACCTATTGTAAAGCTAATCAGAGCTTATTTTTGTTCAGCCGTGAGAAAATTGGCATCGACAATCGATTCAAAGACTTTCAAGTAATCTTCAATATCCTGACCTGCCTTATATTTGGATACTCCCAATTTAGATTTCGGAGCCATTGCCACAGAATTAGTTATTTATTATTACAAAAATATAACATTCTGCTTGTTAACCAATTTCCTATCTATCTTCCTTGTCTACTCCCTCCACCAAATTGACCCTACTGGGCGAAAGGAGAGCTAAAAATAGCTCATCACTTTCTCCCCGAGCTAAGACTTCTACCAGTTCCAAACAGATAAAAGATTCCGCTGTAAAAGGAATTCCAATAGGAAAATGAAACACCAAATATAATAATTGAAAAATTAAATGTTTAGTCTACCCCATCATTAGAATATCTCCCCAGGCCATAGAATTACTCCTATGCTCTCATATAATAGATTGCATTGGAGATATAGGACGCGTCAGAGGTGGAAGAGGTTTTGCTTCCCGGTAACCATGGTGAACCTTCCCAGTTTAGCAGGTGAAGTGACCCTGTGTTAGGGGGGCTGAGCAGAGGTAAAGGGGGGGTGGGATAGCTATTGAGATAGAAGAAATGTCATTTGAAGGGGTCTTTAAACTTTAAAATAGTATTGCCACTTCATCTTATGCTTGCCGCGTCCGCGAGAAATGTCAGCTTCTTCTTCCTCTAAAATGGGGATAAAGAGCTTGAACTAGGAGCTTTTTGGCTTGCCAAGGGGTTTAAGATTTCAATTAGGGCACTTCGTCCCCAGACAACAGGAAATATTCTCTTAGTCACTGGACACACTACCTACTACGTGCCAGATCTGGCACAGGACCTTGATCGTGGGTGCAGAATTGAGAGAGCGGAATGAAATCGGACGGCGCTCAGATGGGGAATGGAGATGAATGTATTCCCTGAACCATTGAGGGTGGACAAGGTCAATTGAAAAAAGGCGCGATGGGAGAATTGATGTTAGCCTCGCGTGACCTGGCTTTTCGATGACTAAAGAGCAAAAGGAAGAGTTTCCGAGGTCTAGGACACCGTCTAAGTCTGTGTTCAATATCTCTCACCTGAAGTATTCTTTCGTTATTATTATTATACTTGTACAGAGAGAAGCATTGATCAACAGATATACATGTCATTGATCTAAAGTATGAACCACCCACTTAATCCTCTTATGTTGGAAAGAAGCCAATCATTTGGTTTGCTAATCGAGGTGAGGAACTCCTTCCTGGTTAGGGTAGATGTTGGTAGAGGAATCTTGCACATGCTCGCTATCACAGCATATATGTTGCACGATTGAATGTAATCAGATTAAGCAACCTGGCTTGAAATGCGATCAAAACGACGCTATAGCAGAGAACTCAGAAACCCACCTTCACATTCAGTCTCGTAGATGAGGATAATACCAGTTTTTATGCAATGCCTTCTGGATGACTATTGCCTGCTGAATGTCATCCACCAAAAAGGCTGTCGGGATTTTTTTTTTTTCGCCTTGCACCAACCCTGACTGTCATTTAGATCAGTGAGGCATTTTCAGCTTCTTATTCCTTCAGATAGGGTTAAGCGCGAAGAGGAGAAAAAAATTGAGGGAGAGTATGGTAAGGTTGGTAGATAACTCAAATCTGAGGTACTTGCAACCCCAGAACCATGGTAATTTCAATCTGAGTTACTTGACCTCTAATGCACATACGCCTTAGCTCTTCCATTCTTTCTTCTCCAGGTTTTCCAAACTCATAATCTGTGACATGCTTAGGATATCCGCGGTCCACTTCTTCTCTCTTTATTCCCGCAAGCTTGTAAAATTAAGGTAATGGATATGCTTCCTTTTTTAATGCTTGACTTGTGATCATGAATTTCCCTCAGAAGCATCACCATGGATGGAAAAGTGCACCTCACTCAGTCATGTGAACCCAAGACCGCTATGAAATTATATATCTAGTTACAAATCTTTAGAAAGAATTGAGCCTTATAACGTCCTTCAGAGCAAATATCTCTTAGATACAAGCTGAAATGAAGGCGGAAGTTCCCGACGATTGGCAAATACTATTTGCCAATATATTGCTCGACTTTAGAAACAGTTGCTGCCATCTGATTTGCAAGGGCACGGAAGTTG